TGCGAAATATTGCAACACACATTCAATACACATTCGCATAAATAAATACGTCCACATCTTCATTCATTCTATTTGGTGGATGGAGTACTGAATATTCCTCCATCGACCTGCATACAATAACAAACTATTGTAATTGGTCTATGGGGTACTTTTATAAATATTCCGTCATCGACCCAAGTCACATACACAACCAACTCGAGGGGCGATGAGGATGCTATTCCACCCCATTCACTCTAATAAATACACTCATTCATACAAAACACAGGAACACAAAACACATAATTTGAAGGCTATATGCAATAAAAAAAATGCCAATTCCCCTAAAAAGCGGAACAGGGGACCCTGAAACGCCCTATCGTGTCCGAGAACTCTTCTTGCCTACACGCTCTCTGTATGGAGCCAAGGCATGACACGCCTCTATTATGTGTGACACATCAAGGAACCTTTCTCTGCATATGGGGCCCCTGCGCGGGCTTTGGCCCAAAAGTAGGTGCCCGAGTGACAACCGCATATGGCCAATCCTCAGTCGGTGCGGACGATCTCTCGTCTCCTGCTCCGGTTCTCTGAGGGCCATCTACCAGTTGTACTCTTGACTCGCAGACCCTCTCCGTCCACTGACGCTGCCATTTTTCCTTTATCATATTTTTTACTGCGTGTTTAGCGTCAAATGACCTGATCGCGATGGTCCGATCCGGAGTGTGGGACGACCCGGCTTTCGCGACTCGTCCGCGCGTTCCTTACCCTCCAGGCTGACGAGTCCGGGAACCCAGACAACAACCGCCATTTTTCCGAGAGGATCCAGCTCCGCGTATTTCTCTAACGAGAGCAGGACAAGAGAGTTCACAGAAAACCTGTCGCGTATAGCCAAGAAAGCGCTCAGAGAGTCGGTACATACTTGATTTTGTTCTTATTAAGTAGGCGAGAAATCATTTACTTTTCAGCGTAAATAAACAGGCTCAAGAAATAGCGTTTTGTAGAATGAGCCTGTCTCTATATTGGTACGAATGTTGCCATTCTTGTGACCATTGTTTTATAAACAGCTGTTTTGCATCTGGTGTAGAGAGGTTGATGGTATGGAATTTACTTTCTCAATTCGTCTGTTTGCTTGAATAACACCAAACAATACGTGACATTTTTCAATCTCCTATTCGATGAATACGGAAAACGAAATAACAATAATTTTACACTAGTCCTTTATTTGTTATAGAATTAACATAACGGAACGAGCTTAAATTGTTCTATATATAATTCTGGCTAATCATACATAGTAGAATACACCAGGCAATTATAAAAGTCAAGTTTATGTAAAAAGTACTTCGTATAAATATATATTGATATTTCCGTATTTTATTATCTTTGTAAATATGCGTTGTTTATTTTGTTCCAAAATGGAGTCTTCTTTTTCATTAAATAAAACCTTTCATTGGGATAGATGATGTATTATGTTGCGTTAATACTCGACCGCCCTCAAAGCCTGAAAAAGCTGTATAAATATTTGAATCCATATTGGGAAAAGATTGCTGGAACGTTGTTTATTGGCAATCTGCAGTAGCTCATTCCTTAAAGTCTGGCATCGAAATAATTGGGGACTGGGGTAAAAACTGTCCCCATCGAGATTGAAATTTATTACCCAGAGGCAATAAAAACACTTTCCTTAAATCATCCAACACAAGGAATCGATTTTATTATGTCTTTATGGCATATTTCAAATTAATACAATAAATATTAATGTTTGCTGACTTGGGTGGTTAAAAAAATAAAAACCAAATTCCTCTATTTCTCCAAAACGAGAAAGTCTACAAAGTTGATATAATGTTGTTGCTAAGTTCTTAGCAACAGCCTAATAGCCAATTCACCACGTTTCATTGATTTCTCCACAAGAATACACAGAGAACGCGAGCGTACAAAACCAAGGCCGACGAACTAGAATATACCGACTAAACATGATCAGCAATAATCGAACTGATAACAATAATTAACTTAGACACACAAAACCAGAATTTCATCAAGTGTTAAGCAGGTACGGCGTGGGATGCCATTCAAACTCATCCAATTAAAATGGTAGACTGTAATGAATTCGTAAAAATTATGAATTTAAATTTAAGAAAGGGAGAGATAGAAAGATAGAGAAATAGAGATAGATAGTTAGATAGATAGACAGAAAGATAGAGGGAGATGTGTGAGAGAGAGGTTATGCTTCGATGACAAAAATGTAGAGTTTAACAGTGAAATGATTACTGATTGAGACTTTTAATGCAACGTATGAAAGAGTAATGATAATTAAGTTTTAAACTTCTATTCAAGCTTTTAGTGTAATTTTATGAAACAATAACATTTAAAAAAAACAAGAAAAATCAGAAAAAAGAGATAAAAGAATAAGTACAGAATAAATAGAGCGAGCAAGACAATAGATATATAGAAAGATAGTGAGAGAGAGCGTGAGTGAGTGAGGGAGAGAGAGGAGGAGAGTGGAAGAGTGTTTTATCCTTTTCAGACTTGAAATTGGTTATTAAATTATTTTTCATTTCAATCAAACAATCAACGAATAAATATTCTAACAAATATGATTAATAAAATATTTAATGCAGGTGACATAATGTATCGCAAAGAAAATTTAAAACAAATGGTTGGAAGATTTACTTAAAAGTAATAATATTTATCCTGAAAAACTTATTTTACAATTAAGAAAAGAAAAAGTAAATTCTAGAATAATAAAGAAAGTAATAATAATGAAAACAAGAAATATTATGAACATGATAACATGAAACATAAAATATCATAGATAAATATACAATATATTCGGCTACTCGTGTTATCTACTTTGCCAGTAAATTGTACATTCAAAACGGAACGAAAAAGTCCTAATTAACTATGGTCCGAATCTCAATAGTTTCGGAGTTATTTCACGTTTTCTCAATTTTAAGATATCACGACCTTGCTTCAAATAAACAATGATAACTACAGAAAGTAAACGGTATTGGACAAATCTGTTCTTACCATTGAAAACTACGTTAAATTTCCGATAAGATGTGATTAATACTAAACTTGTAAACGTTGGTGAAATGAGCGTTTTAGTGGGAAGAAATTTTAAAAATAATTTTTTTTTCAATGTTGAAAAAACATACTATGGTGATTTTCACCTACTATTTCCAAACCTAGTAACCAGTAAATTTCAACAAACATACACAATTTAATATCCTTTTTAGTGGTCAATTGCTTTTTTAATTACTTTTTCAAATACGAGGAAATAGAGGAAGAAAAGGAAAAAAACTGTGGTTGAAGGATTGGTAACGTGGAACGATTAATAATAATAAAAAATAAAAACTCAAGGAAATTTGGAACGAATTTATTAAACGTTATTGAATTTTGATTCGAAATGTTCTCCACCCTCAGCAATGTATTTTTTACGCACTATATATCAGCGTATTCTTCATTAGAAAAAGTAGCCATAGTGTTAACAACATATCACATACATAAATAAAAACGTTTTTAACCTTAAAACTCTTTTATTTCGGAGAATAATAATACAATAATCCTTGTTGCAATTGTGTTCGAAAATAAGTAAACACTTGCACTTTTCGGTTTCTAACCCAAATTAAAAAAAGTTTAATAAATTCAGTCAAAATATCATTAAGTTTTTTGTTTAATTTTCTACCCTACTAATCTGTCAACCACGGTTTTTTCGTTTCCACCATCAATTTCTTTACCTTTAAATGAAGTAATTAAAAAAAAATTTACACCGCTGAAAAAGGATATTAAATCGAGTACGTATTCTGAAATTTGCTTGTCTCGAAATAGTAGTTTAGAATCACCATAGTAAGTTTTTCAACTTAGAAAAAAAAATTTCCTTAATTTTTTGTATTTTTTATTATTATTAATCTTACCGCCTTACCAGTCCTTCAGCCACGATTTTTTTTCATTTCCCTCATGAATTTCTTCATCTTTAAAAAAAGTAATTAAAAAATAAATTACGCCGCTGAAAAAGGATATTAAATCCAGTACGTTTTCTGAAATTTGCTGGTCTCTAGGTCTCGAAATAGTAGTTTAGAATCACAATAGTAAGTTTTAAACTTTGAAATTTTTTTTTTGTCCAAGTTCTCCCTACTAAAAAGCTTATTTAACGAACGTTTACAACTTTAATGTTGATCTTAATCATTGCCTCAAAGAAACAATGATAACTCCAAAACTAAAACATTTTGGACAAATCCGTTGAGACCACTGAAAACTACGTTAAATTTACAAATGATGTGATCAATACTAAACTTGTAAACGTTCGTGAAATAAGCGTTTTAATAGCGAGAACTTTGAATTTTTTTTTTCAAAATTGAAAATCTTATTATGGTGATTCTAAACTATTATTTCTCAACCTAGAGACCAGCTAATTTCAGAAAACATACTCCATTTAATATCCTTGTTAGTGGCGTAATTTATTTTTTAATTACTTTTTTTTCAAAGATGAAGAAATTCATGAAGGAAATGAAAATAATCGTGGCTGAAGGATTGGTAAGGTGGAAAGATTAATAATAAAAAATACAAAAACTTAAGGAAATTTTGAATGAATTTATTAAACGTTTTTTAATTTTAATTCGAAATGCTCTCCACCCTCCGCAATGTACTTTCGACGCGCTGCCGTTGCATTAAGCCCGCAAAACCTGTACATAAGATGTATAACAACGTATTCTTCATTAGAAAAAATAGCCGTACTCTTAACAAAATATCACATAGATAACTAAAAACGTTTTGATTCTTAAATTTTTATTCCGAAGAATAATAATACAATAATCCTTTAATCAAAGTTGCAGTCGTGTTAGTAAATAACTAAACACTTGCACTATTTCGGTTTCGAACCCAAATTTAAAAAACGTTTTGTTTTTGTATTTTGTATTAGATGTGCGTAATTAAAATCTTTCAAGGCAGGTTGATTAGAATGATTAAAGAACATAATTTATTTTTATTATCAATAATGTAAAATATATTAATAAATCTTAAAAGCGCTAGATCGTAAAACATGCAAGGGATTAAATTTGTGGAGAGTTAAACAGTAATTGAGGTGACATAAAAAAAAAATCCTTTCATAAAAGTACATAACTATTGATTTATAAGGAGAGAAATATTGTACGTGCCGTTATTTATGGTAATACATAATTTTAGGCAGATCATCAATGAGTCGCTTTTTCCAGGAAGTGTTATCCGATGGTGAGCACTTGCCTCCGTACTCGACAGGTAGAACATCACTGCTAATGAAGCGGTGTAGCGATTTGAAATTGGTTCCGTGAAGGAAGACCTGAAATGTGGAATCAATAATAAATGCAATAATAACATCGAAATTACAACTGGAGACACGTGCTTATCTTAAATTTGACCTTGTTACACGAAGTCACGTCTTCTAAACAGCAATACTTCGCAAATAGAACGCCCTGGTAAGAAAAGCATTCTCTTCGTACTGATAAATTTACAATATAGCAATATGCAATTTTTGTATACAAACAAATAACTAAGAAGACCCCATTCTTTTATTAGAACATAGCACGCTCACTACTTCGTTTTGCCGAATTCAACATAAAGCTATACATTTACGTTTCAGAATGAATGAATGAATAAACATTTATTAAAAAATACTTGTACATTATGATACATAACATTCATGATGCAGGGGAAGTGGCGGGGCATTTTTACGTCCTATTTCAAAACTTTTTCCTATCAATGCACCTAGTCCTAGTTTGTTATTAGTTTTAATTAATCAAACAAGAAAATTAAAAAAAATTCTTAAAAAACCCTCTAGGTATCAAATAGGATAACAATTAACAAATGAATTAACAAAAATATAAATAAATAAATGAGATTAACAAGAACAATGCAACACTAGTAATTGAATTATCACAAATTGTCTTTAGTATCACAGCTCTGGTAGAGTAAAAAATAAATATATCCCAGATCCTAGATTTATGTATTGCGCCTAATCCTTCTAGGTTTCCATGGAAAGTTAACATCATACACTCCTACATCACTACAAGTAGTGTTCTTGCTGGAGGAGAGACCCATAAAAAAATTCGTGGACAGAAGCTTTAATTCTGACTTAATATACTCCACTCCCGTTCTCTCATGGAGGAGGCCAATTCTGGTGTATCGAGGTAGTGAGGTTATAAATCTTAGAAATCTATTTTATACACCTTGCAGTTTTTGGATGTTCAATTTGCACATGTAACTCCATGCTTGGCAAGCATACATCAGCATAGGTTTAATAGCTACTTTATAAATCATTAGTTTATTTTCATATCTCATTACACTCTCACGGACCATCAGCGGAAATAAGGCTTTTATAGCTGTTTTACCTTTCGTAACTATATCATTTTTATACCTAGAGAAGTTAAGTTTTCGGTCCATAGTTAAACCCAAGTACTTTACCCCCTCACACCACTCAATTTTCTGTCCGTGAATGGAAATGGTTTCCCTGAATATTGGTCGTGGTTTTGTGAAAAATACGGCCTCAGTTTTGGGGACATTAATTCTGAGTTTCCAGCGGTGACAAAACCTGTAAATCCTGGTGATGCTGTCATTTAATGTTTTCACAATTGTCTTAGGCCTCCAGGATGAACAATAGACAGCTATGTCATCCGCATAAAGCGCAATTTTACAATTTCTCAGAGAGGGGTGTGGATATATAAAAGGAGAAACAAGCATGGTCCTAGGATTGAACCTTGGGGAACTCCGGCGGCAATTGGGAAAGGTCTGGAAGTTTCATTGTTTAGGGAAACACGGAAACGGTTTTTTAAGTAAGCCATGACAACTTTTATAAGGTAGCCTGGGAAATTCATTTCAATGAGCCTTTATACTATACCGTCCTGCCGGAACGAATCAAAGGCCTTCTCCATGTCTAGCAGGACCGTCCCAGTGTGTTTTTGTTGTTGAACATGTTGGTCACATGATCTACTACGCGAGTAAGTCGGGTTGCCGTAGAGAAGCTCGGTCTAAAGCCTTGCTGCTCATCTATGATGATGCTATTAGCGTGGAGGTTAGACGGTGCTGAATGCACTTTTCGAATATCTTAGTAAGTACAGTCAACAGACTAATGAGTCTATAACTTGATGGATCATCGGCAGGCGTCTAGGGCTTTTTAATAAAAATAAGGTTCCCTGTCTTCCAGATTTGAGGAGAAAACCAGAGCTTTTTTTGGAATGTTTTTTAACATAAGGTTTGATATACCCTCAAATCTTGGGGTTTTCCTATTTTGCCCTGATTTTATGATCATTTACGTTTTAGTGGTCAATTGACCAAGTTACTTCTTTCAATTAATTATTCTTTCTATGTAAGGTCTTGGTTGAGATAAAAAAAGCAATGTCACGAGCGGGATTCGAACCCACGACCTTCGGCTAGATACGCCGTTGCTCTACCACTTGAGCTTCCGTGACCTCGATCCACTCGGACATGTATTCTGGGTTTTTGTACGTCGTCGCATCTTCAGCTAAAGAAATCAGATAAAAATCTCTGTCGAATGTACAATTTTTCATATTTACAAATTTAACATGTACTATCGATAACCAACATTTTTTATGTGATCGCTCAATCCTCAATCCATCAAAGCCTTTTCATTGCGTTTATGACGTTTGATTATTACAGTCTTCAATCCATTAGTTATAACTTCTAGCACACCAATTATTTTGGGTTTTTATTATCCAATAAATAATATTAATTAATAAAGTAATTTTAAAGAAAAAAAAAACAAATTTAACTTCACTAGTTTTCGTGGTCCGCTTGACCAAATAATATCTTTCAATTAATTAATCTGTATTTAAGGTCTTGGTTGAGATAAAAAAAGGCTGTGTCACGAGCGGGATTCGAACCCACGACCTTCGGATAAATACGCCGCTGCTCTACCACTTGAGCTATAGTGACCTCGATCCACTAAGCACCAACTTCCCATCTTAATCGCACCTTTCCAATTTTCCCTCCTTTTTGCCATTTTTCAAATGTGGTGTAATCAGGATTGGATTCTCAGCGACTTACGAAGTGGCCACGGGGAACTGTTTAGTGAAGTAACACTTCTTTTTACTTATTAAATATTAATCCATTTACTTTAGAAGTCAATTAACTAAGTCATTTCTTTCAATTAATTATTCTATAAATGTAAGGTTTTGTTTGATATAAAAAAGATAAAGCTATACATTGTATTATGGCTTTCGGTAAACAGTAAAATAGTAAATAGCAAATTCACCAATTTTCAACCTTTTTATACGTTGTAGAGTGATTTTATGGTTAAATTGTTATAACTCTGCATGTGGTTTCCTGTGTGATGAATGTATAATTTGTCGTTGCCGTTCATTTTGGACTGCCCACCCAAACTGCTTCAGTCAGTATGTTGCATTTCGACCTTTGGCCATCTTCAGTGAGGGGTCTGTGTGAATCCTAATGGTTAGGAAAACTAGGAGTTTATTTGAGTTTTTTACTTCTTTTTTCTTATGCTGGAATGCTGGAAAGATGCTTTGAAATAGAAACACGATTGACCGACAAAAACAGCAAGTATAAAAAGGACAACTTGATCGTAAACAACCAAATTAAAAATTGAATGCCTGTTTTTCTCATGAGATTCCTACGCCGCCATACGGCCAGATGTATTCTTACACAACTTTGAAAATAAAAACATAACATACTTCGCAGAAACCGAAACATTAAAACGTTGCCTTAAGTAATAAAAAACAGTAAACAAATATAAAAATAAACCGCCACCACATTTATACTGGGTGATTTACTGACTACTCGAACGGTAAATTTTTTCAAGTGCTTCTACATCTCAAATGTAACAAAAAAGGTTGTATGAACCATGGACCGATTCTCAACCCTTCGCAGATATTCAGTTTTTTTATGTTTTTTGCTATCTAAAATTTTTGTCATACATCTCGAGTGTTAAATTTCCTTTAGGAAAGAACAATATCCTTTCAGAACAATTTAATTTTTTCTAAAAAAACAAACAAACACAAAATCTTTTCAAAACTTCTAAATTTAAAATTTGGAAAAACAAAATTTGTCATTTGTACAAATACGTAACTCGGAAAAAACAAATACAAATGCAACTTGCTGGAAATGGTTTACAATAACAGAGACACACACAGCATTAATTACATATTTATATAAGCTTAGCCGTAGCCAAGACAACATCATTAAGGCAATGAACTATTAAACAGTATTTTTCTTTTTCTCTTTCCTTCCTTAGCCACCTTAATAATTAAATTCCTTTCCAATATTGAATGCCGAATCTAATCCAGAAAATCCCCATGCTCGACATCTTTGAGTTAAACACAACCGCCTATGATCAAAGAAAATATCCCAGATTTACCTCGTCCCCCACCGATCAAAGAAAAACAGAATAGCTCCACACTTTATGTGAATATGAAATACGTGGTTAAAAATTTACATTTACATCTCAAATTGTATTTTTTCCAATCAACATATGTTTTTTTATTTACCCAGACCTTGAAGATGACCCGAATAAAGGTCGAAACGCAGCACAAAAATGAAGAAAGTGTTTTTTATTAACTACCTCATTCTTGACGTTGGCACGATAAAGAAAATGTTTTTTTTTTAACTACGTCACACCAGACCACATCTCACCATCTCCGAATAATCATTATGGTATTGTATGGTATGTCGAAAAAAGATACTAGGAAGTGGGGTTTGCACACCCAGGCTCTGCAGCCTACTAGCTTATTGTACCTTCCTAGTTCCTTACTTCAGTGCAATAGACTCAATCCTTCTTCTTAGAAGTATTAGGTCATTGTCTGTTGCTGCCGCAATTTGATTCCCTAAGTCTTTTCCGTACGTTAATTTAAACCTCCATTGAGCTGTTGCTTCGCATTGGAAGATGATATGAGTGGCTGTTTCCTCCTCCTCATTACATAATCTGCAAATGGGGTGATCGCTGTATATACCCATGTTGTGTAGATGTTTTCTCAGATGCCAATGACCGGTTAGTAGTCCTACCACGCCTCTGAGTTTGGCCCTCTCCAATTGCAGCAATGATTTTGCTAGTCTTGGTGAGCGTTGTTTCATCATAAGTTTACTATGTCTAGTACCGCTAGAGTTTATCCACTTCTCCTTTTGTTTTGTTTGGATCCATTCTGCGATGGAGAATTCTATATTTGTTTTTGTTATCCCAAGTATAGTTTCGGGGATTATGTATGGTCTTTAGATCCTCCTCTCGCCAGAATGTCTGCTTTCTCGTTACCCCCTATGCCCTGGCACCCAAGATATCTTCAGGTTGTTGTGTTTCCCCAGGTTTTGGAGATTTTG